CAGAACATCTAAAACCATTACATAAAAAACTTAAAATAATCAGTACATTGAATTTTATTTTAGGAAGTTTCTATAAGAGGAGTAAACTCCTTGACATCTTCCAGAAAATTCCAAAATTTCTTTTACTGTCTTATCTTCAATATTCAAGACAGGCTGGCTAATATAATTATTGTACAAATTCATGTAGCCTATGTCCATTATAAGGACATATGCTACCTTACCTGTATCTCTATTGTTAAAGAAGCAATCACTCCCCTCCCAAAATAAATACTTCAGCTGACAATCAAGAGATCATCAAGCTCACAAGATTATGACTTATCAAGCATCCAAATGAAAGTAAATATATTCTAATTTCAAAAATGGAAACTACAGCTAATTTCTAAGCAATCAAGAAAAGTATAGACGCATATAGAAAATATAGCTGATTAAAAATATCTAACTATCTAACTTGTGTTTCATTTTTCCGTTTTAAGATGAGGAATAATATGTGTGCACTCTAAAATATACCAGGTCAATCTCGTTTGTAAGTACAACAGTAAACATATGCTTACTCATTAGACTATTTGTGATTTGCCTCTTCACAAAAGTAGCTAACTGCATATAAATATCCTATTCATTTTCATTAGTTGTAATGCACAGTAGCAGTAGTTCAATCAAAGTTCCATTTAACATTTGTTGAATGGTAATTGTTATTAGTAGTTCGAATTCTCGCCATATCCATGAGTAGGAAAATAAATCAAAGTAACGTCAAGCAAGAAAACTCAAGAGTGCAGTCTCTGCTCCAACATGAGATGTCAACCTTAATACATAACAAAACAGGAATTCTGAGTTTAGAAGGGACTACAATTTCCCCTCCAATGCTAGGTCTAGCATTCAATGCGATTTATAGAAAATTACAATATGTCTAACTTTCAGAAATTTTCAAAAAAAACATGAGCAAGGATTGCTGATATACTCACATGCAGTAACATTGAATAGCTATTTCATAATCCTGATAAATATAAAATTCAAGAAACTTCAAACATTCATGAAAAATGATGTGCAAACCATGATATAAATCAATGAGAGAAGTACTAAGTTAGCAATATATGATTAGGGCACAAGACTTTATCCACCCGGTTCAATCTTCTCAAGACCCATAAAATTCACAGAAAATAAATTGATTACAAAGAAAAAATCTAACCTGTATTTTGTGATCAATAGCTCTCAAACTAACGTTAAAGAAGGAGCGATTTGGAGGCGATGGAGTGCTGAAAGAAAAGACAGAGAAATCCAAGAAAAGATGAATTTTGTGTTTGGGGATGAAAATCAGATATTTTCTACAAAAGGAAAAGATGTAATACGTGTCCAAAGGAAAATGGGAGGATAGTGATACACACGTTGTTGAGAAAGAAAATAAAGGAATACCAAATTTATACTACAATTTACGTTACCTTTAGTACAATTAATAGATGCTGTGATAGTCCTTCCTTGTTCACTTATGAATAAGACAACAAATTAAAGAAGTAATATAAATATGTGGAAGCAAGTGTTTTTGCGTCTTAGAGAATGGATAGTAGGAATTTATAAAACTGATACCAATTGATATAAGAAGAAATTGTGATTACAAATATTGAGCAACGTATATACTATATATACAACGTCAAAATAAAGTCATGACGAAAGCAAGGTAACGATGTTTCAAGCCAATTTGATGGACCAAGCTAGAATTTCAAGTTTGTTAAATATAAGTATAAGAGAAAGGTGCTTCAAAAAGTGTATGTAAGCTAAATCAATGTTGTAAGGTAAAACAGGCAACAATATATTCCATAAAGACATTAATTATAGTTATGTTTTAATTATACTGCTACATTAATTATATCATGACCTACAAATTTTATATTCAGACAATTGCAACAGAATCTACATAGGAGGGAATAGTGTGTCAGCACTTGTCTAATATTTGATTTAATTATATTATGCACAAAACAAAAGGAACCGAAGTTTTTAAAAATATATAATAAGTTGTGATATGACTATTATTGATGGTCTTTGGCAGTATGAATTGTTTCTCTTCTCACATTATAGATGTTCCTGTTATGGAAGCACAAGATGTAATTTCCAGTGATATGCTAAGGAAAAAAGAATGGTAAGATTGACACCATTCTGCATTATCATGTTCAACTTGATTTAACAAAGTTGAACATTCTGGTTTCTCATTTTCGCACAAAAGTACTAATTAGTGAAGCAAGATCATCAGAATATGATGAGGTGATCCAGTTTCTAACGATGGTCTGATAAGAAAAGCATATGAAGATGAAATTAAAGTAAAGAAGCAAGATCATAAGAAATATGATGGGGTGATCCGGTTTCTAACGATGATTTGATAAGAAAAGCACATGCAGATGAAATTAAAGTAAGGAGAGTATTCGAATACGCGACTGCACATATGACTACATATGGTAACAGATGATCTGATTTTGAGTTCGATGAGAGCAAATGGCTTCTAAAGAGCAAATTTAGAAAGTACGATTCCAATAAATCAGCAAAAATTAAACATCATAATATAGAGATACTGTAAATGAACTCACTTGTGCTTAAGCTCTTGGAACCTGATATGTTTAACAAATTTGCAGTGCAAGAAGTAAGAAGTATTATTGATGAAAGATCGGTCATGATCACTTTCTCAAGTCAAGCAGTAATAGAAACTTCTCTTCATTCCATCAACGTCCTGTTAAGTGGTTGCTTAAGAGATCAAATTACCAAACAACTTATTGAATATCTAACAATATTTTCATGTTTCATATTGAGTGAAACGTACCTTTTGACGGGGGGGGGGGGGCAATGTAATCATCAGTATAATCATCTGAAATTGTGGATACCAAAGTTGAAGTCCTTGTTAATTTGATCAGAAACACTCAGCAGAAAAAGTATTTTTTTCATATTCTTTGTTGAGACTGTCACGTCATCAAAGATGCTTGTCATTAACCTGCACGCTTCTCCTTATCTCTGGTTATTCACATAGCATGGTTTTCTAACTTAGATGTTAGGTTCTTTTGCAGGAGAGAGTTATGGATCATATTCTTATTCAAAGTACAAATATTCATCTATTTATGATTGATTTTTGGCGATCAGAGAAGAAAGGATCCCTTTAAAGTAGGTCCTGCTTAATTATTAGTCTGTATGAACTAATAAACAAATATTACCAAAATCAATTAACCACATCTTAGATGTGCCAATACAACTCAGGAAAGGCCTTAAACACTCTCAAATGCAAACTATAGCTCAAAAGTCTACAAGTGCAAATTATAGCACATAAGTCCATAAATCCATCTACGTTGTCTAGAAGTGATTGATCTACCACCACCCTCAAGCTGTCCTTTTGCAAAATCAACAGTTCCAAAAGACGTTATGTTATCACCACACTGTACATGTGTTATCAAAGCTTGAACAGAAACTCTACCATTTCGCCAAGCCTAATTAAAACTAGTCCTTCCACTATGAAGCTAGCAAAGTTGTTGCAATATTTGAAACATTGAAACTTAAGCCATGTTGTGTTAACACAGAGTATTATAACTAGAAACAGGAGAAGTGTAGGCATGAATTTGGCCACTAGAATTTCTAAATGAAATCAAACATTGTGAATCGATTGATTCATGGAAATAGGCAAACAATAAATCACATAATGAACCAATATCAGTTAAAATCTATTGATCACAAGTCACAACCAAACATATTTGAAGCTAGGACTATGCATTTCAACTTGGTAAGAAGTAGGCGACTAACAACAAATTTTGGGAAAAATAATGTCAAATTTTGACAATGGCAATAGGATTTATCTCAAACAAATGGATTGACTTGTTTTGTACAGATACAGTATAAATAACAGGGAAGTTAGAACAACATGTCAAAAATATTTAAACCAAAATGTAAGTTAGAACTGTAAAAATGAACAAAACACCTATATGAATCTGGATAGTGTGCATAAGACATACATACAAGGCAGTGATGCAATGAAGTTATCAATTATACATAGACCATTCAATGAAACCAACTTATCAAAAGCACAACAATAGTCAATATCCAAGAGAGAAATATGTGTGTTAGAAGGGAAAATTACACCAAGACGAATGAAATTAGAACATCGGATGAAAGAATCTGAAACATAAGCAAAACACCATCAATCAGCAAACAAGTAGACTTATAACACAGAATGTACCATTTTCTACACACAAAAAAAAACATAGCACTCGAAAATAGCATAAATCAATGAAAAATAGCTAGGAGAATTGTAACCACCAAAACGTAACAGTGGGGAGAAGAATTATAAACATCCATCCAAACAATGGGACAAAACAGAGCATAAGAATCAAAACTGACTGAAACAAACAATCGAAGTAACGGACCATCAAATAGACCGGAGCAATGTGAGTTACGTCTTGGGATTACTTTAGACCCCTAAAAGAAATAGGAAGAGAGAGATCCAAACCCTAGAATTTTTGCCACCAAAAAGGTGGTGTTTACCCACTATTGCTTAATTGCCTGTAGAATATTGAGTAATTAGCAATAATAATTGCCCCTAAAAGTTATTTATGTAACTTCTAGTGATTAACTAAGTACTAGTTAGTAAATTATTTTGATGGTTCATCATTCTGCATTCTCATATTCAACTATATATGCATTTTTTTTTATCAAAACTTGTTTTCAAAGAACAGATAGCTTAGTAGTCTCATTTTGGTAGCTTAGTTCATAAGATATCAAATGAAAGGTAATTGAATTATCTTTTTTTAAAATTATCGAATTTGCTAATTTTCAAGTTCGAATGTCGAACATATGCCGGTTTGAAGTCAGTCTGTCCAATTAAGGATATTTACCCAAACTAATAAGGATACTTTGGTCTTTTCCTTTCCTCATCATCTTTAAATGTTTTTACTAAATCGTCTGAATACTCTAGGGAGGAGCTGGGCGTGCACCACATTGGCCAAGAGGATTGGGGCAGCACGCTTGCATTGCGCCACAAACCAACCCCAGTAAGTGGAGGCTAGCATGGTGCGCCAGGGATGCATTGAGCTTCAGCACAATTTTCTTTTTTGTCCTTCGATCAATACTTGTTCCTTTAAGTTGAGCTTTCATTCCTTTCTTAATCCTAGCGATCTAAGTTATATTTAATCATTACGAGGTCCTTCATATCATGAATAGTAACTCTTGAATTCATAAGTTAAGTTCAAGAAAAGATTAAGAGCCGAGTTTGAGAGAGTCGTTTGAGTTATTTCGAGAAGTCTTTACAAACTTTTAAAACTTATTTTTTAAGACTCGAGTACTTGAGAATGAGGATGAGGAGTGTTGAGTAATTTCTTTTTTTAATCATCTTTATTCTTATTGTTTCTAAATTTTCATGTATAAATTCTTTCCACATGTATTTAAATCTACAATAATAAATGATATTATTGTTTTCAAAATTTTAAATTAGAATTGATTTAAAATAATTTTTCATATATATATTTTATGTTATACTCATAATATCATGTTGGTGGTGCTTATAACGTATTAACTTAATATAATTAATATTAAAAATAATATATTAATTATTTATATAAAATTAATTTAAAAGTTTTTAATACTGAATTCTAAAATTATTTGTCATTGTTAAGTTATATGTATTTACTAAAGAATAAAATTTTACAAAGACTAAACATACCTAAAAATCCATAAAATAAAAGAAGAAACTTATAGTAAATCGGAGTGGAAGATGATCTATTGTTTGAATCTTTCGAATTTTTTATTTGCATCGAAAATAATTTATTCTTATGTGGTATAACATTAGTTTGATCATTTATTTTTATGTGGTACATACTAATTTTTATTATAGTATCTTTTATTTAATTGGTCACACTAATTCAATATTTTATACATTCCTATTTTCTGAAATTGTATTAGATTAATTGAAAGTCGTCTTATTTTGCAGGAATTAACAAGAGATGAGCGTGCTAAAGAGGTTGAGACATTCTTTGTAAATTATATTTAGATTTTAGCTAAAAGTAGAGACAATATCTTTAATATTACAATTTATATTGATCTATGAATTTATAATTTAATTAATTAGCACAAACATCAACAGAAAACATGCTACATATGCTATTAGTACTCTTCATTATACTAGAAGAAGGAGAAGTTATTAGAATAATGTTTGGTATCTTTGAAGAACATACACTCATTGCACGTAAAATAGGATAAATTTTTTGTTAGCATTAGATGAATATATAAAATTAAACATTATATATGATTATGCATGCACTTTTGTTACTAAATAATAATTCATATTAATTATTTTTAAAATTAAAAATTATTATATTTAAAATATCCGTGCTAGGCGCGAGTACGTATACTAGTATATATATAAAGGAGAAATATAGAGAATGAGATGTGAGACCTCTCTATGGCCTCCATTACCAATAATCTTTTATTCTCCTTTCTTTTGGCTTTATTTTAGAATTTCATAAATTATTTTGTTGTCACACACACACACACACGCACGCACGCACGCACGCACACACGCACGCACGCACGCACACACGCATAGCACCTTTTGTTCCAAAAAGAGCTAGAGAGAATCATTCCTAAGCTCTTGTAAGTTTTGGTCAACTTCAAACTACAAGTAGCTAATGAAAGTCCTTTGAATCATCTTTCCACGCCACTGAGTTAGTTTTGATGTCAGATGAGTGAGATATTGTCTTTTGAAGTCAGGTTATCTAGTTGAAGAAAGTTACCCGAAAATAGTGAGGGATATTTTGTTTATTTCCATACCAAACAAGATTTAATTCATTTTTAGTAAGGTTTTAGGGGTCTAATCTGATTAGGTTCAACTATATAATCTTAATATATGCCTAGGTTTTTAGTTGAGAGTTCAAAAAGAGAAAAGAGAAGAAAA